ATGAATTCCTGGCTCTGTCCCTAGGCTTAGATGTCCTATATGTAGTTTGGGGATTTATGTGTTAATATGAGGTAAGTTCAGGAGCTTAACATTGATTTTCGTCATATTTTGATAATTTTTGTGTTGCACTTTGCGTTAAGTGGCCACTTGAATATTTTCTTCGTTTCTATAGACTATAATAATAACCAACAAACCACTAATGGATAATCAAAGGCGAAATGGGCGGACCAAATATTGAGCTGGGACACAAGTGCATGTGAACCACTGGGGCGGCTCGACGCTTGTCAACACTCCAATTGTGGAGAATTAGGGTGTGGTCATTGCCCACGTAAAAATGTTACGAGCACGTGAATTTAATTTATTTTTTAACAGTTACTAGCTTATAGTCTTTGAAAATATATTTTTAGTATTTTTTTCTGTTTATTTTTAGTATTTTTTTATCCAATAAAATAGAGTTCTAATAATTTATTGATAAAATTTTATTTTTTAATTAAATAATGTTTAAATAAACTTTTTTATTTAATACATGTTGTAATTATATTTTAAACTAAATATAAAATAAAAATAAACACATTAAATAATATCATAAAATAAAAATACATAATTAAATATAAACATTTTAAATTAAAAACTAAGTTTATTAAATTTGAATGGGCAGAGAGAGTATTAAAGTGTTTTAAAGTCAATTTTTATGTTCCCAAAACTAATTTCTCTTAGCCAATGTACATCTCTTGCATCTGCCTAGCACATTAATATTTAAAAAAATTAATTTTTTAAAATGTTGACCTTAATATTTAAATCTTAAGTTAGGTCTGTAATACCACACTTGTTTACTAATAAATTTATCCCTTGACTTACGATGTTGAAAAATATTAGTTTATAAATTAATTTCAATTCATTAATTAATAAAATAATTTTTTAACATATGTTCTTAGAATACATATTAAACTTTATTAAATGTAGGATCTTCAATTAATTTTGCATAAATTTTTATATCAAATTTAATTAAAATAAAATAAAAAATGTAAAAATATAATATAATATAATATTTATATTCAAAATAAGTAAAAAGATATAAATTTGATTTGAAAATTTGTGTAAAATTAATTACAAATTCTTTAATTAATAAAGGTTAACATGTGTCTTTAGAACATAAATTAAATAAATCCATTAATAAATATGAATTATTTTATCAATTATTAATTAATAATTATAATTATTAATTAACAGCTAAATAACTATTCTTAATAGATATATACCAAAATGTTTTTAACTACTAACTATGAGTAACCAGCTACATGGGACCTGATTCTTGGATTTGGTTAACAAAATACTACATCACAGGCACTTCATTCGAATACGACTAGTTGGTGCAAGCGCGTTGGTTCTTCAAGTTCAAGAATGTGGAAAATCTTGGATCGAGAATAATATGTCTTTATTTTCGCCAGCAACCGTCTTTGCAGGGCACAACTTCTGACTTGGAACAAACTGCTCCTCCTCGTGAAAAGGAATTGTGATTGTGGGAGATTGTCGTTAGGTTTGTCTTCCTCATTGTGTTTGTTTCCAAATTTTTTATGTTTTTCTATTCTTGTTATTTGTGCGTTTTATTTTATAATTATTCAAAAACAACATCACATATTCATATTGAATTTCGTAGTAACCATGTTATTTCAAATCTCACTAATCTTTTTATGATAAAATAATCATAATTAAATTTATTAATAAATAAATATAAAACATCAAGTAGATTTATGCGTCATATGGCAAAGAAAATTAGAGAATACTCAGCAGAAAATATTCTCTATGTAAACCAATAGAGGACTATAAAATTATATTTACAAAATATAATAAGAGGCAATAAACATTCATAAATAGATATAAATAATTAGAAACAATAAGCCACACAAAACTAATAGGTTACAAAAATAATTGCTATAAACAAATCTCACTAATTTGTTTTAAATAATTTAGGACTGGTTTTGTTGGATGATATGCCTATTCTATGGTTAAAACATTTTTTTTTTTTAAAATGAGAAAGGGTATAGCCAAAACATAAAATAAAATAAAAAGCGAGGCATTAGATGGTCTAAAGCTTTATATTCACCTGTCCATAAAAGAAAAAAATTCTTTGTATTCACTTTGTCACAAGCCAAGATTTATTTTGGGAGTGTTTTGGCAAACTTTTTTCTTTTTTGGGAGTGGCTTAGTAACTTTTTATTTCTTAATTTTAAAATTTTCTTTGAAAGAAAATTTATTTTAAAAGAAATACTTTTAAACAAGTAAAAAGTAAAAAGCCATTGATAATGATATTTGAAAAAATGCAGTCCTTTAAAGGAGAATAAAAATTTGTCACATGTTAGTTTATTTACTTGCCTACATCATTATCTTTTTGCTTTTCTAGAGAAATGAGTGCTTCATATTGAAATAGATATTATCAATTACTGTTAATTCCGTCAGGTAAGACAAAGTGGCGGTAAAACGAAAAGTCTCCATTGTTCCTTTTCAACTTGGGGTTCCTTTACTTGGGTCATAGGAGTCATGATTCTGAAGCATAAAAGTTGTGGTCATGTACATAACGGACCACAGGCTCACTTTGCTCTTCATAATACACGTACCTCGGAACCTCTTGTTGGACCACTTCTGGTTCTAGACCCAACTAGGGAGTTGATGTTTCCTGGGTCCAGCTCTGATTCCACTATGTTGAAGATTTATTATACGCCAAAACTAGGGTATAAGTAATTACCCCCTTATATTCTTCTCGAAGAATTAGACCCTAATTAGAAGAAAATTTTCCTATCATGTCATGTCACTACTATCATATGGGCATTTTTTTTATATTAGATTAACTGCGATAATAAT